ATATGTCCTTTAGTAAAAATATTTCAAGCCATGATTTTCACTTATAGACATGGTTTGACAAGTATAACAGCAGAAATATTGCAATTAATGTGAGAACAGTATTGTTTTATTACATATTTTGGTTTTATTACATTTTTGAAAGGACTTTCTTATATTATTTTATAAAGCAAAAACTAAACAATATTTAACAAATACTGTAATTTCTCCATCAATATATCTGTTAGTACCTCTACAATGACACTCGATATAAGATACAAAAGTTCCAATTGAGACAAGATTTCATGCAGAAATATTTTTTTATAAATAATAAAAATACTACGTGGCTTAGTTAAACTTGCCAAGTTAATTAAACATATATTTAGTAAACTTTGGTAACTTGTGATCATTCTTCCAGGAGAATACATGATTACTTACTGTATTAAGTTAAGCAGTCATGCAAACTGTACAAGATCCTCATAAGTATATTAAAAACCACTGAAATAGTTTATTTTACCGAGTCTTTTATGTTATAATTTTACTGAATTTATTGATAGAAACGAATTGGGTTTGATATTGCACTAAGTACACCAAGCATGTCTACTGAGTACATGTTCCAGCCATTCTCTCCTACATATAGATAGTAAAACTATCCATAAAAGCTGTCTTTTCTCAATACATTTAACAGAGGAGCTAAATATCATATGTTAAGATTCTTCACAAGAAAAAGCATAATGTGTGAATATTTTCTATAGAAGTAAACAAAAACTGAAAATCTGCCAAAGTTGCTTCACGAGGCTTCCACTTTAAAAGGACTTCCGGGGATATGTTCGTCGCCCCACTTCACCACCAACACGTACTCTCCTTTTTCTTTCAAAACATAATTTACTTGATACATGTGCCGACCTAAGTGCTTCACGAACACCTCGTCTGATGGTCCTTTAGGACCGTAGATGGACACGTACAGGAGGTTGTTACCTATAAACAAAAGGTAGCAGCTTTAGCAAGATTATTTCAAGGAAGAGAAAAACATTTGAATACCTTCATAAAATAATGCACTGATACAAAGAAGCCTATCAAATAGTTTATTACGATGTTGGACGAGTAGAGTTTGATCACTTTCAGTACAGTCAGAATGTGTTTAAGTTACTATAGTAACAAAACTAAAACCTACCAGCATCCCCGCAGTTCACGGTGAAGGTGTTCTGTTTATGTAAGAATGCTTTTTGTACTCCCATTCCTTTGCATGTAACTTTCTTTGCATCAGAACGGAAGGCAGGGAGACTTTGGCTCTTCTGTCCTGCCTGCTTTGTAACTGTTTCAACTATAACTGAGGACGTTTCATGTTCGCCATAACCTGTTGCAGAAGTCCCTGTCAATATTTAGATCATAGAACTCTATTAACATCACTTTCTTCTAATGAAAACAAATTCTCATTTTTCAATAAAAATGTTTTTACGTAAAGATAAACAAGCAATTATGTTTTACAAAAACATTTTAAAAAAACACTAGAATTGTCAGATTGTAAGCTTTGAATAAATCGCACAAGAGACACAATGTCAATAATGATATGATATCATTAAGCAACAATGTAATAAAAAAAAATGAGACTAAATATAGCTGTTATTTATATTTATTAATGTTAGATTTTTGTTTTCTTGTAAAGGGTTTCTTTGATTTTTCTGCATTTTATAGTTTTTCTTTTTGTCAGTGATGTTATCATCTGTAAAACTAAAGGTGTGTTTGGGTACATGAGGGGGGTTTGGGTGTTCTTCAAGTCTTGTTGAAAGCTGTTAGTTTCTCTGAAGCAAGAACTACCACAGTCTATAAATTTAAATTGATCTTGATGTATTACTGTCAACTGTTTTTTTCCATGGTAGAAAAAAAATAATTAAAATCCATATTGCACTTTTTAACAGTTTTTGTCTACTCTTTCTGGATAGCATGTGAAAGTTTAGGGATGTAAAACAAAACACAATAAAGGGGTGGTGGGTTTCTTAAGTTCCTAGTGTTTGTTTCCTTGACCTGTTCCTCATTTTCTGTGGATTATAAAGTTTTATTTATAACTTTGGAAGGATACTTGTTTTGAGGGGAGGTGGGTTTCTTAAGTTCCTAGTGTTTGTCTCCTCGACCTGTTCCTCATTTTCTTGGATTATAAAGTTTTATTTATAACTTTGGAAGGATACTTGTTTTGTGATAAAATTTGAGATTTTAACACATTTTTTTCTGTTAGAAAAGTCTGTGTGCAAGAATAAATATTTTTACCCAAAAGAAAATGTTTAAATGATCCCCATTTTTGTTGCTTGAAGTCATGGAAGGACTTCCAATAAATATAAACTGAGTGTCTTTATAAAGAACATTTAAGAATGGAACTTTATTATCAACCTCATTCTTGGATGTATATTTAATGGGCTGAAGCACACTGAAATGTGAAAAAAAAATATTAACTGAATCCTCTGTTCTGTCTAATAAAGCTTACAATTATAAACTTGGAACCTTTGGCTTAGATATGACAGAATAGCTTATTTTTATAAAAGGTCAGAAATATTGGTTTCCATCATTGTGTTTTAGTGGTATGTTTTTGTATAAGGACACACTCTCAAGAGTTCATATTTCTTGAAATTTCTTTCACAATACTAAAACAAAATTTCTTTAAAACAAACTTTTTTTTTATTGTGGGTAAAAATATTTCCAAGTAGACTTTTTTGAAAGAGAGAAGAAGAAAAAAGTGTTAACATCTTAATTTATATCTCAAGAATCCTTCCAAAGTTATAAATAAAACTATAATCCATAGACAATGAACAACAGATCGAAGAGACAAACATGAAAAATATGACATATCAGAATGAGTGTAAAAACAGAAAACTTTCAACATGATTGAAAGAACATCTGTAATATAATTACTTTTGGTAATTATCTTTTTATCATACAATAAAAACCTAACATTAGTAAACATACAAGAGTACAAATGTATTTAATTAACCTAATCGTTTTTCTTAACGTAATTATGATATATAATTGTAACAAATTATAGTTTTAAACATATTTACTTAACATAAATTTGAAATCGTAACAGCTTGAAGAATAACAACAGCCAACATGGTCATTCTCAAGGGTCTGACAGTTAATGTTTGACCACCACCAGTGGTCATTCTCTGGGTTTTTTTTTTCTAAAGAACATCTCTTATCTTTAGGATACACCAAATTGTGGCTTGAAATATTTTTACTAAAGGACATATCTTTAGGATACACCAAATCGTGTCTATAAGTGAAAATCATGGCTTGAAATATTTTTACTAAAGGACATATCTTTAGGATACACCAAATTGTGGCTTGAAATATTTTTTCTAAAGGACATATCTTATCTTTAGGATACACCTGTATAAGTGCCTAACTTGTGTTCTATACACCAGAATTACAACAAATAAGTCCAACTATCTGTATAAGTGCCTAATTTGTGTTCTATACACCAGAATTACAACAAATAAGTCCAACTATCTGTAAGTGCCTAATTTGTGTTCTATACACCAGAATTACAACAAATAAATCCAACTATCTCTGTAAGTGCCTAATTTGTGTTCTATACACCAGAATTACAACAAATAAGTCCAACTATCTCTGTAAGTGCCTAATTTGTGTTCTATACACCA